GGGAAGGCAAGTTCTTCCCTGGCAAAGGATGGGGGCATGGTGGACGTGGGGGTCTGGATGGTAGTGAGACCAGAAAGCAGGGCATTTGGAAGCCAGAGCTGTGTAGAGCTTGCAGAGCTGGGCAGGCGGAGTCCCGGTTTGTGTGGGAACCCTGCCTTTCTCTGGTGTACTGGCCTCCGGCCTTAGCGCTCTGCACTGACCAAAGCCCCGGACATTTCCCCCAGCACCTTAGCACAGAAACCTTGGTGGCCTGCCAGTGTGGTCCACTATGCCCACCTGCCCCTAGGGACCCTTGGAACCTTGTGGAGTCCTCCTCCAAACCACTGGACCTCTCAGGTTAGAACCAAGTGTGTAATTCAAGTCTCCTGCAACTCTTTCATGCCTCCAAGCCCTGCCCCCTGCATCGCATCTGCAAGTGCCCGTAGGGCCTGGGCCTCCCAGTTTCGGTGGGTTGTGGGTTGGAGTTAATGTTTGAGTAGGTGTGCATTTATGTCAGTGTGTGTGTCTGCTGTGTGTCTGTGTTTCAGCATGTGTCAATGTGTGTGTATCAGCATGCATTTAGTCCTATGTTAGTATTTGTTGGTGCATGTTGGCCAGTGTGTGTTTCAGTTTGTCTATATCAATGTGTATGTCAGTGTGTAATTTCAGTGTGTATGTACGTAAAGGTGTGTACCCCAGTATTGTGTGTCGGTATGTGAGTCAGTATGTACATGTCAATGTGTGTGTTGGTATATGTGTCATTGTGCATGTGTCAGTGTGTGTATGTCAGTGTGTAGAGAGGTTTTAGTTCACTACGTTCTGGGTTTCACATACCTTATTTCACTCAATGCAGTGGGCCAATGACTGGGAGGTGTGGATTATAATGTTTATTTCAACAAAGAAGTTTGGAAACTCACTGCGTTTGTGTCTCCCAATCTTTGGCGCTGAGCAGACAGGAGGGCTCTTATGAGTGGTTAGTTTCTGCCTTGAATGTCTGTCCCCACCTTGATGAGTGTGGCCAAAAGTTCCCCTTCATGCCCTGGCTGATGTGGCTCAGTTGGTTGAGCATCATCCCATGCATGGAAAGGTCACCAGTTCAATTCCTGGTCAGGGCACATGCCCAGGTTTGGGGTTTTGTCCCATCAGGGTGTGTCCAGGAGGCAACCAATCAATATTTCTCTCTCTTTCCCTTTCCCTTCTTCTCTCTCTTCTCTCTAAAATCACTAAAAACAAACAAACAAAAAAGATCCCCTTCATGAAGAGGCATTGTGGACCCTCAGGAACTACCATGAACATGTGTTCATGTTCTAAGTGCCCTGGCAGGGTCCCTTGGGCCCAGCACAGTGTCTGGCAGGTGCTCAATCAAAGTTTGTTGAGTGACTAACTGAAAGGAAGCATGTACTAGTAAATGTGGTATTTTCAGTGATCCCACTGTTCTTAAGGAAGCTGGAGCAAACAGCAGACTTCCCAGAGCCAGCAGGTGACTGTCATTAGCATGCCAATGTTGTTTGTGGAACCAGACTCCCTGGGGAGGGGAAATGGCCACCCCTGCTGGAAGGAAGTGGGCCCTAATTGGAGCCAAGCTTTAGAAAGCTCACGCTGACTGCTGGGGTAGCGGGTACTAAGACTGGATGGGGGGGAACAGCAAGGGGGAAGTGGTCAGTGAAATGGAGCCAAGATATCAGAAAAGGGCTTTGTCCTGAAACCTTGCCTTTATGAAGGAGAAAGAGAAGGTTAGTCAAGTAAAGTGAAGAAACTGAGAACAATAGGAAAAGTAAGACCAAAAAGTGGGAGGAGAATGACAAGGTGAAGCAGAGGGAAAATGATCTGGAATTAACCAAATCCAGACAGTGCTGACAGAATCTGAAATTCAGTTAAGGGGCTAAGTCAAGATGAATTAAGGATACCTTTGCTTGCATTCCTCTTGCTTGTCCATTTTTATTCCGGTGGTTCTCAAAATGTGGTTTTTGGATCAGCAGCAGCAGCACCTAGAAAATTATTACAAATGCAAATCCTCAGCCTCCACCGCCTCCACCACCACCACCACCACCACCACCACCAACAACAACAACAACAACAACAATAACCTACTGAATCAGAACCTCCAGGACTGGGACGCAGCACTCCGTGTTTGAACAAGACCTCCAGGGGATTCTCATTTAAGTTAAGGTTTGAGAACCACTGGTTTATTTGAAATCTAACGCGGAGGGTTGAGACGCAAGACTGGTAAGGTTTGGTAGACTACTGAGGAAAAGTTTGAAGCCTGGGCTGTAGCAATAATGGTAGATCCTGGCAGATTTCTACAGCGGACAGCATAAGGGTATGGAGTGCCAAGGGCTGAGGAAAGGGTGAAAAAAGGGTGGAGAGGGACCCCTGTAGGGAGCTGTGGGGTTTCAAAAGTAAGCTTTGCCTCCTTTGCAATTTTACTCACTTATTGGATGAGCCCCGACTGCATCAGCCACTGTGCTAAGTGCCAGAGAACTCAAGGGGGATAAAATGGGGTGACAAGGACTCCTAAGGCTGTGACATGGCCAATGGAGCTCCCAGGCCAGTTGCCAGATAGCTCCACAAACAACCAGTAATGTGATAAGTGATATAATCAGTCCGGAGCAAGACCTTGGGAGGTAGGAACCCAGAGAGGTGAGGGAAGGCACCTTGAAAAGAGTCTTTGGATAGAGTCTTGAAGTATGAGTAGCAGTTTATCTGGCCAGCAAGGGGTTGGGGTGGGGAACAGTAGAAGATGAGCATATGTAAAATCATAGACAAAAAGGACAGAGAACAGTTAGGGAATTGCAAGTCTTGGCCTGCCAGAGAGAGTGGTAGAGTTGGGGACAGTTGCTGTAAATGAGGCTGGAAGATAAGATGGGGTCAGATCTAGAAGGGTCTCATTGGTCATGCCAAAGAGCTTAGATTTTATGTCATACCAGTGCAAATGGGATGGATACTCACAGTGGAAAAAAAATCAGTTAATCGGTAGAAATTTCTCTATTTTAACTTTTTAACCATAAATTTTTCCTAAATCTTTGACAGATGCTTCTGCGTATGTGCTAGCAAGCAACAAAACGAACGAATGAATAGCAAATGAATATTAAACAGACAACCCCAGTACTGATCATGCCTAATTCAACAGTTTATTTTTCATGGACATCTGTGCTTATGGCTATGATTTTGTATTGCACACACACATAATACGGACATATTTTCTGCTCGCAGAAGTGTTCTTTTGAAAAGCATTTCATTTCATGTGGTGCGATTTAATAGATCAATTA